CTTTTTTTAATTTAGTTTAATTTATGTTTATTTTTATTTATTTTGTATTAGAGTCTCACTCTGTTACCCAGATTGGAGTGCAGTGACTTCTCCCGGCCACTGCATCCTCAACCTGCTGGGGTCCAGCCACATTCTGCCTCAGCCTTCCAAGTAGCTGGAACTACAGGCACATGCTACCATGCCCAGCTAATTTTTTGATTTATTGTAGAGATGAGATCTCGCCAAGTTGCCTAGGCCTGTCTCGAACCCATGGGCTCAGGAAATCCACTCACCTCAACCTCCCAAATCCCTGGGATTACAGGCTGAGACACTGAGCCCGGCATCATGTGAAATCTTAATCATTCACAGTCCCATCCTTTGCTTGTATCTGAGGATCCACCCCATTTCAAATGGGAAGCTTGGATATCCACACATTGCCATGTTCCCCAAGCACAAGAAAATATTTTAATACTGCAGGTCATACATTCATGGTGAGAGCAGTTCACGGCAACTAGGCAGCATGGATGCTGAGAACAGTGGAGCCTCTGGTATGTAGACACATCCTTCAAAGCCCTTGAATATCAGGAAGAACAAAAAAAATTGAAAAATACCAGTGGAGACCATCACAATCTGGTATAAGTTTTAAACACATCCTTCAAAGCCCTTGAATATCAGGAAGAACAAAAAAAATTGAAAAATACTCATTAGGCAAGACCATCACAAGTAGCAGAGTGGTTTATAAGTTTTAAAATTGACAGTCCTCCCGACCTGGGACACATTTATCTGAGAACCAGGTATTTTTTTCTTTTCCTCCAGCTTCTCTGAATTTTTTTTTTTTGAGTCAGAGGTCTCACTCCTTTGCTCAGGTTGGAGTGCAGTCACATGCTCACAGTCACCCCAGCAATGACCTACTGGGCTCAGGCAATCTTTCTGCCTCAGCCTTCCAAGTAACCATAACTACAGACTAAGCTACACTTGGCTAATTTTTAATGTATTGTAGAGAAGAGGTCTTGTTAAGTTGGCCGGGCTGGTTCAAACCTGTGGGCTCAGGCAGTCCTCTCTCCGTGGCCTCCCAAAACACTCAGAATACAGCCTGGACCATGCAGCCTGGCCCTCTGCGATTTCATTTCAGGTGAGATGATCTAGACAAGTCACACCTACATGTTGAAAATATGCCTTTATTTATTTGAAAATTAAATTGAACATATTTATTTTTTGTTAGAGTCTCACTCTGTCACCCAGGCAGGAGTGAAGTGGCATCATCATTACCACAACCTTGTACTTGTGGGCTCAGGCAATCCTTCTGTCTCAACCTCCAAAGTAGCTGGAACTACAGGGCTTTGCTAATATTCCTGGCTAATTTTTCTTTAACTGTTTTTTATAGTGACATGAATATGCTATGTTGTAGAGGTTGGACTCAAAATGCTGACCTCAAGCAATATTCTCACCTCAGCCTCTCTAAGTGATAGGATTCCTGGCATAAGCTATGATGTGCAGCCAGCATATTCCTTTCACTTAAGCATAATCATTTCCTTGCTACCACCACACCCAAAAGCAGGAGGGTCCAGAAAGGGCGATAAAGTCTACTTTTTTGCTGTTTTTTTTGTCACAGGAGACAGATTCAAAAATAGTGAGGTCCTGCAAGGAATGCAAACTGAGTTACTTCTTTTCTTTCCACAAGTGCCCTCTCTTGCCAGAAACACAGGCAATTTCTTCTACAGCGATAAATATATGGCCCCACTGGCTTACCTGCCTGACCTAACCCAAGCAGATCAGGACAGGTGACCTCCCTTTTGAATTCAACTTTAACGAACATATCTGGCAACCCTCAACTTGAAAATGTCACCATGTTAGAATCACATGGGGTATAGCTGGGCACAGTGTCTCACACCTGTAATTCCAGTAGTTTGGGAGATGAGATGAGCAAATTGCCTGAGCCCCAGGGTTCTAGATGAGCCTGGCCAACTTGGCAAGACCTCATTTCAGCAGTAAATCAAGCAATTAGCTGAGCATGGTGGCACATGCCTGAAGTTTGACTTGGAAAGTATTGCCTGTGGCCAACAGGTCAAGCTGCAGTGGCTGAGAGTGTCCCACTGCACTCCATCCTGGGCAAACAGACAAAGAAAACCTATATGCCTATTTTTAACAATGACAACCAGCAGAAATGATAATGAAAGAGTTACAATTCTGTCTGTGAATGCTCTCTTAAGCAGTAACATGAAAACTCAACAAAAAGTCAGGTACCATGGGCAACTCCTTTCTTTGTACTGACTACATGGTGCTGATTCAAGCATTTACCCTTTTACAGCAGTTGGAAGTTTCTGGGGAGTAGGGATATTGACCACTTGATCTGTTTTTTTCTAGTGGTTCTGTAATATGGCGGTAAACCTGTTTTTCCAGACCTACTCCTCATTATTTACCTGAGTAAAAGGAAACTGGAGCCAATCCATATGGCTGAATTCACACTTGTCCATAGAGAGTTATATTCTTATTACTAAACTCAGCATTAAAAAATAATTTACAGCCGGGCTCTGTGGCTCAGCCTGTAATCCCGCGCCTTTGGGAGGCTGGGGTGAGTGAATTGCCTGAGCCCGTGGGTTCGAGACCCGCCTGGGCAGCGAGACCTCATCTCTACAATAAATCAAAAAATCAGCTGGGCATGGTAGCACGCGCCTGTAATTCCGGCTACTCGGAAGGCTGAGGTGGGAGGATCGCCGGAGCCCAGCAGGTCGAGGCTGCGGTGGCCGGGAGCGGCCACTGCACTCCAGTCTGGGTGACAGAGTGAGACTCCAACTCAAAAAAAAATAAAATAAAATAAATAATTTACTAGAAGTGTTATCGGTTAGTCTCGGGAGGTCGTGGCGAGTGGATCATCTGAGCCCCCATGTTCAGGACCAATTCAGGCACCTTGGCGAGACCTCCTCTTTACAGTAAATAAATAAAAAAAAATAGCTGGGTGTCGTAGTGTCTGCCTGTACTTCTAGCTACTTGGAAGACTGAGGTGGAAAGATCACCAGAACCCAGTAGGTTGTTTATGGTTTGGCCATGTGTGTGCCACTGCATTCATGCCCGGGTGACAGAGTGAGATTCACTCAAAAAACGAATGTAATGGATACTTTCATGCCCCTGTGAAACTCAACAATTAAACTATCACACTTTCTGGTGGAAATGTATTGATCTACAGAGCTATAAAGAAAGAAATTTTTTCCTCAACATTGTGATGTAACCTTGGGGTAGAGAAAGGAGAGAGGGGGAATTGTATCGCAGACCCTCTTTCCGTTGGCCCTGCCAGCCCGTCGGATCCTCCCCACTACTCTTTTGGGTCCCAAACACTTGGAAAGAGGGGCTGTTCACGGAGGGCTTAGCTTGAGGTCGTGGATGGGACAAATCCCCCGGGTCCCGGTCTAGCCTCACCTACACCGAGGGCACCAGGCACAGCTGCTGTTGGGGACGTGTTCACTGTCAACTGAGGGGAGACTGGTCCTGGCACAGCCGGGTCATCCAAGTCCATCCACTTCCCCTCTCGTGACACCCCCAGCATACTCACCTTCTCCCAGCTTCCAGATGTCCCGGCAGCCTCACCAAGGCCTTCCACGTCCTGCAGATCACAGGGCGACAGAGGTCGAAGGGAAGACAAACTTGGGTGCCAAGGCATTACAAGACACTGCAGAAAGGACGACCGAACTCTGCGCAGGCACAGGAGACAAAGGCCCAAAAACCGCCCTCACTTCCAGCTCCCATCTGATTGACCAGTTCAGGCCTCAGCGTCCATTGATTGGAAAAGCCTTTGCCCTTCTGGTCTTGACAGACAGGAAGTGCAAAACAATAAGGACTCCATAGGCAAAATGCCTTTAGATTTCTCCTTGCCCCAGAGTCTGGTCAGAAGGGTGGGGGGGAGGCTTTTGGCCCCCTTTGGGCCATAATGGGAGTTTTTTTCACTCCTGGTTGGTGGGTCGCTGGACTGTAGGTTGACACCGCCTCTCCCGGGACATGCTGGGATTGTAGTCCTGCAGCTCCACAACCCACCAACTGGGAGTCATGCAGACGCCAGTGTTCACCACAATTCCTGTAAGGGGCCGCCCTCACAAGTTCCTACCACATTCCGGAGCTGGGAGAAATCTCAACATTTTCTTGCCTCATGCAGCCCGCGTCTGATTGCATGTCTTGTCACTCAAGACCAGATGGCCTAGAGTTTTATCCAATGAACTGATGCTGGGGTTTGAAATGGCCAATCAGACAGGAGCTGGAAGTTAGAGGGCAACTTCCGGGCTCTTACAAGGCCTTAGTTTCCTCCGTCAGCCTCGTGTATCTTCATTGTATCCTGTGTTTCCTTGTGGCATGCAGGTCCTGGGAGATTCGTAGGATGGACGCTGAGACCCACGGAAGGCGGGAGGTGGTGAGTGTGCAGGGAGGTTTCCCAAGAGGGGGAGTGGGATGGACCTGGATGACCCGGCTCATAAGGGACTGGCCTCTCTGTCAGCTCAGAGCCTGGACCCATCCCCACTGGGGACTCGCCCAGTCCCCTTAGTGTAGGTGGGCCTGGGTCGCAACCCTGTGGTCTTGCCCTGCAGCGACATCGCCTGCTGAGCACTCTCCGTGCAGCTCACCTTCTCCAAGTGTGCCGAACCTGCAAGGGCTGTGGAGAGGATCCGACTTGCGTGGGGGGCTGGTGGGGGGAAAGGGAGGCTATGATCCAGGCCCACTCCCTCTCCTCCCCAGAGTTAAACGGTGGCTCCATCACAACATTAAGGAGGCCTCTTGGCCAACAGCAGTTCTTGAGTCCAGAAACTCCTGCTAGGACTTGTGGTGTGGAGATCCCGGAGGACCTGGGAGGAAAGGCTATGGGAAGGGGCAAGGGGAAGCTGAGATGGGCAAAGGCTATTGGGTGACAGTCCTTCAGTGGCCTTATCTGAATTATCTAGGTGGAAATCTCCAGGGTCTGTCATTAGTGTCATTAGGCATTTGTGTCACCAGGTCCAAATTCGGTTCTGTTGACATAAGGAGTTGGAGCAGGGGATGTGACTTTATTTACGGACACTAAAACTAAGGAAATGAGGGGACGGCATCCTAAAGAACCTTCCTGGGTCGTGTGTGTTTTCTCAAAATTTTTATCCAGCCTGTGGGACAGAGAGCGACTAAGATCAAGAGGTGGCTTAGACTTGCAGACATCTGGGCGATGAGAGAAGTCCTCGAAAGTGGTGAATTATCTTTGTCCTTGGTTCACAGTCTTCTTGTTCCTTTATTAAACAAAGCAGAGTTAGTGTACAAACTCCCACTTTCGCAGAGTTAGTCTGGACAGCTACATACTGGTGCCAACCTTGTCAGCATTTCAAAATTATTTTAGCTACATTCAAACACACAAAGAGGCCAGAGATCCCCAACACTCACCCCAGTCCAAAATGGAGTTATGTCGAACTTTTGAGAGTCGACTGTCCTATATTGGATTGATTAGGTTTAAGTTTTATATTATTAAATTAGTAACTTAAAAAATTTATTTCAGCTACTAGTTTCTGTGAACTTGTAGACACATCACCGTTCTTGAGGGGTAAAGGCAGAATTGATGTTTGTCCTCTGGAATATCTTGCATTTGTAAAGAAGAAAAACTGTCCTAAATGACAAAGTAGACCCACCTCAGGGATATGTGGAAGAATCAAATCAAAGACAAACTCAGGCAAACAGGAGAGCAAGCGAGGGACTCCTAAGAGGGTGATAATACTGACAAAAAATACTTTCTATTTAATTTTGAAATAAGTAAAGGCATATTTTCAAAATGTAGGTGTAACTTGATTACATAATCTCACCTGAGAAGAAATACCAGAGAAGTAGGAGGAAAAAGAAAAAATGGCTGCTTCTCAGGTAAAGAAATTTGTCCCAGATCACAAGGAATGTCATGTGTGTAAATCTTGCAAACCATGTTGCTGTCCTTGTGATGGTTCTGCCTAATGAGTTGGTTTCAACTATTTTTGTTCTTCCTGTGATATTCAATGGGTCTGTTGGATACTGTTCCTACATAGCTTCTTCTGTTCTCTTTAACCATACTACTTAGTTGTCATAAACAGTTCTCACCATGAATGTATGACCTGCATTTTTAAAAATGTTCCTTTGTTACTGGGGGACATGGGAAGGCATGGTAACGAAGAATCCTATTGGAAATTGGGTAGATCCTCAGATCCTAATGAAGGATAGAAACATGTGTATGTAGTCTTCCTCTGTTTTCCATCATGACATGCACTGGCACATTCATGACCACCAGAGCCCAGTTAATTTTTTAATTTATTGTAGAGATGAGGTCTTGCCAAGTTGTCCAGGCTGGTCTCACACCCAAGGGTTCAGGATGTTCTTTTTCCATGGCCTCCCAGCATGCTGGGATTATAGGCATGAGCCTCTGCTACTACCCAGAACATGTACTGTTAAGTTTCTATGTAGATGCTCCATCAGCTCCATGCAGAACACGGTTAATTAAATGTACATTTAAACAGGATGGCAGTTACTGCCCAAAATAACTCCAGAAAGTCTGAATGAAGAATAATTAGAAAAGACTTGCACTCTAGGATGCCAAAAAATAAAAATATAAATACAGTTTCAGATATTACATGCCATGGGAGTTACCCGTAGGCTGATTTCTGTGTAACACAAGCTTACTTGTTATTAAGTTAAGATTATAAATTAGTATGTTGCATGGGTGTGGTGACTCAGCCTGTAATCCCAGCACTTTGGGACGCTGAGGCAACACACTTGCCTGAGCCTGTGTTTTGAGAACAGTTTGGGCATTTGGTGAGACCTTGTCTCTACAGTAAATTCAAAAACTACCCAGACATGATTGCATGTCTGTGTAGTTCTAGATACTTGGAAAGCTGAGGCAGAAGGATTGCCTAAGTCCAACAGATCGAGGCTGCAGTGGCCTTGAGCATACCACTACACTCCAGCCTGGGCAAGAAGAGTGAGACTCCCACTCAAAAATTAATAATAAATTACTATAACTTTTGGCCAAAAGATCTCAGAATGGATGTTGTGTTCCACCTGTGTGCCTTGACATCTGATTCCAATTTGTCCCAAATACTTGGGATGCTATGGAGGATGGATTCTTTTATCCAAGGAGATGAGACTGCAATAAGGTGTGATTATGCCAGGGCACTCTAGCCTGGTTCAGAATGAGGCACACCCTAGCTGGGCGTAGTTGTGCATGCCTGTAATTCCGGCTACTTGTAACTTTGAGGCACAAGGATCTCTGGAGCCCAGCAGGTTGAGGCTGCGGTAGCCAGAAGGGGCCACTGCACTCTAGTCTGGGTGACAGAGTGAGACTCTAACTCAAAAAATAATAATAATAATAATAATAGTTGTCTTGTCAACTGGACCCTGTTTTCACTCTTGCTTTACCTAGAGGCCATGGTGACTTGGTAAATATGCGATTTGTTGTTTTCAGGGGTTGTTGTCATTCAAGGATGTGGCCATAGAATTCTCTCCAGAGGAGTGGAAATGCCTAGACTCCCCTCAGCGAATATTATACAGGACTGTGATGTTAGAGAACCATAGAAACCTGGTTTTCCTAGGTGAGGAAACTTCTAAAACACAATCCTTATTTCATACTAAGGATTTTATGTCCTTCCTTGATAGAATGATTTCTGTGAATTTCTTCTTTGCATAAATGAGTTTCAGATTCCTACTATCAACAAAAAGTTGGTAATATGTTAACATAGAAAATAAAAATTAATGATATTTCATTTTGACATGAAGCCTTCTCTATTTTAAGTTGACACAGCGTCCTCTAGCTATATTATTGGTAAGTCAGAAATCTAGTGGCATAGATATCATTGCCCACATCTCATTCTCATTGCTGCCATAAGTTATTGACTCAGTCATTCTGAACTAAGAACACACAAATTCAAGGTCATTCATGGTGGGCATGCTGTGCAATGCCAGCACATTAGGAGGCTGAGCCCATAGTTTCAAAAATAGCCTGGGCAACTTGGCAAACCCCATTTCTACAAAAAATTTCCTGGGAGTGGTAACGCACACCTGTAGTTCTGGTTACTTGATAGGCTGAGGGAGAATTACCTCAGTCCAACAGGTGAGCACTGGGGTGGCTACGAGCTTTCCACTGCACTCCAGCCTGGATAACAGAGTGAGACTCCAACCTAGAATAAAAAGAAACACATACATTGAAAGTTTTATCTAAATGTTCTAAAAGTTTTATTTGGAAAGCGTATTTTTGGGGTTAATTATCTAGAATCTTGTATGTGTTCTCTACTGATCAAATACTAGGTTTGTAATCTAAGAACCCCAGCAAGAGTCATGTTACTTTTTTCTAATTAAACAGGACTTACTGTCACTAAGCCATACCTTATTACGTGTCTGGAGCAAAGGAAAGAGCCCTGGGATGTGAAGAGACATGGCACATTAGCCAAACTTCCAGGTAAGAGGGAGTGAATGAAGCAGATGACACAGGTTGAGGAATCAGAGCTTGAAATGTGGTTTGGGAAGGTGGTCTGCTCCAAAGGAAATGGTTTCTTAGAAGCCTGGGATTTTTCTCTTCCTATCACAAAGGGACATCTGTTATTACATGTTCTGAAATTCTCCAAAAACTGCTTCATCAATGATCTTTCAAGTTTACAGAGAAAATTAAAATCCACTTAATGGTTTGTTAGGAACTGCATGATCTGACTATCGTTCTGATGCTTTGGAGATGTGCAAGTATTTGCTTATTTATTTGGCAATCCTTTTCAAACTATTTTTTATGTTGGTTTTTTTTTTTTTTGGTATCATGGTTGGAAGTATGTGAGCAGTGATTTTGTTATCTGTTTGAGAAATTTTAAGAATACTCCGGACACTTGTTACATGTTTTCTAATTTATGATTTTCTCTACTGGGGAGATTTCCAATGATTTTATTTAAATTCTTACTCAATAGTCTTACTTAAATACACATTTTTCTCTTAGTGGAAGGAAATTCTGATATTCTACTTAACTTTTACTTTTATACTATGATCTGAGACTGGTAGTTTTTCTTTATATTCAAAATATTTAAGTGTATTATATCATGTAGAAGGTTGGTAAACATATATTAAATTCCTACCTGTTTCCTTGTGTCTTAATAACTCTTATTTTCTAATTTTCTTTAGTATGAAGCTTAGGACTTGCTTCATATATGTATATATTCAAACGTATATGTATGCATGTTCATGTATGATAGCATCTGATTTTTTATACATAAATAAAAATGTATAACCATAGTTCATAAATAACGTAATAATTTAATATGCCTATACAGTGTGAAATGATTATAATTATATTAATGAACATATCAACCATCTTATGTAGTTGCCATTTTTGTTTTGTAAGGAGAACACATAATGTCTTCTATTTTAGCAAATTTTCTAACCATATGAGATGTCATTACTAACAATAAGTCACTATGGTACACAATAGTTTCCTAAGACTCAGTTATAACTCAAATTTTGTAACCATTGGAAAACATTTCCATTTCCCACCTGCAGCCCTGGTGACCACGTTGTACTTTCTTTCTCTATGAGTGCAAAGTTTTTTGATTCCACAGGAGTGAGATCATGCAGGATTTTTTTTTTCCTCGAGTTGGAGTCTCACTCCAGGCTGGAAT